CTAAAATGACGAATGGGACACCCTACGGTCCCTCGTGGACTTAACCAAAGTCCCTTTAAGACAAGTCATGTCACTCGGCAGTCCATCTTTGAAACGCCTCTCGGGCATGCAAGTGCATCTCCTATCTCTTTGAATGGGAAAACATAAAATTCTACAGAACTGTTCACTAAGCTTGCGATTAAATTTCATATTTTTAATCACCAAAGAAATCTGATATCAACTGTGTCATAAATGTTGTTTATTTTGCTCAAATAGCGTTATAAAAAGCTTATTATTCAGGCTAGATAAGCCAGTGTGCATGCGCAGCCCTGAGCGCATGTCTCAGAACGCTGACTGTTTCTATAGCAACCGGGACTTCTAACGGCAGCTGCAGTGACGCGTTGACTTTACCGATTAGCGATTGGCTCTTTCATTCAGAAGGCGGGGCTTCCTGCGATTGAGCGGCCATATTGAGCATTGCATTTTTCCCCATTCAGAACTATACAAGTGACACGTCTTGGGTATTCTATAGTCTTTGACTTAACGGACACGCGCATGCGGCGGCCATTGTCAGTCCGCAAGACCGAAAGTGCGCATGAAGTGTTCCATTTGGGACAGGGCCTAAGTCGAATACACTTAACGCCGTCTGCTGGACTGCGCGCTGCATGTACTTTTATTTTCACCACATGCGAACTCACGAAGAGCCCAAAGGCACTTTACCTCCTCGTTGCTCCACGTTTGCCCTCTGCTCATTTTGTTTTGGATACACCGCTCGTTCCACGTCGTCAAATCATGTCGCAAAACGTCGCATCTTGTCATTACTTCCTGTTTTTGGTTTGTTTAGAAGTATTTGGTCCGTGTTGCATTCATATTTCATTCAAACTGCCGCTTTAAGTCTAACGCACCTTTTGTTTGGGGTATTCGGTGAGTTCCGTCACGATATATACGTCATTCAAGCTGACAAATCAGGTTGTGAACGTATCACTATGCCTTTAGGTTCTGTGTCTTTAGGTTCGCTGTCAAAAATGGCAATGTGAACACTAAGCGGACCAGGACCAAATGTATCATTTTCCTTTTTGGTCTGGACCAAATGAACCAAACAAACCGAACTACAAGTGTGAACACCCTTAGCGGTCTCGGTCCGCTTGTTTGGTGCGCACCAGGGCTTGGATGGCAGCGTTCACACTTACTCAAACAAACCGCACTAACAGAGCAATTGCACCAGGGTTCATTTTAATCAAACCAAACATGACAAGTATGAACACACCCTTAGGTTTAGGGATTCAGACAAATTTTGGGATGCATCATTTGTGCTAGGACATGAATGTCACCTCAAATCATGTGGCTTACACTGCTATTACTTCTATTACTTGCAACTGCATTTTTGCCTGGTGGTTGAGCAAACAAATCCCATAGATTTATACTGAAGGAGGGCCCCGAGCCATATTTAGAAACCAAAATATCAGGTGAACTCTTCTACCTCATGACCACTTATCAACCATCCAGAACACCTTAGCAACAGCAGTTGTGTCCCTAAATATGTGTTTATACACTATGCACTCTAGCGTACTAAGTTATTTTGTCATCCAGCATCAAAGTCCGCTAAGTATGGAAAAACTGTGACAGTTGAGTGCATGAAGTATCCAACACTTCGGCTGTAACCGAAATCACCCCCATTCACTATTCCCTATATTACTCCATCTAATATAGTCCACTGAGAATAAATACGAGTAAGCGAATTCGGACACTGAGTGCAGTGGAAGTGCTGGGATCTTCTGGCAAGACGAGGTGCATTGTGGGATTGAATGAGTGCACTCGATAATGTCCACTATGGTTTTGGACACCATTACAAATGGCTGTCCCATCAGATAATGCACTATATAAGGGTATAGGGGGCTATTTCAAAAAAAATGTTCTCAGTTAATTAAGTGCATCAACTTGGTTTTTGAAGTTCACTTTTTCCTCATTCCTCATTGTTTATACTACAAAACGACAAGTACTTGAAATTCAGTTGGGAAGTCCTTTTGTGTTGAGGGTTTCTTCTTTTGTTAGTTTTGATTGCTTCCTCATTTGTAAGTCGCTTTGGATAAAAGCGTCTGCTAAATGTAATAAGTGACTCACTATAATCTTAATTGCAGTATTTTTTTATCCATTATTTTTTCCCTTCTTTAGGCATTCATCTCGCTAGGACGAGCCTTCAGGCTTATTTCTCCACAGCGGGCTGCAGAGTCCTATGCAGTGTTGCCAACTAATTTTCAGGGGAAGTTGCTAAAGAAAGGTTGATTTGTTGCTAAAATAACACATCTGTTCTATCTTTATTTGACCCTCTAACTCTAGCACTTTTTATTTATCATAATAAACAATTTTAATTATCTATTTATCTTTTTTATTTAAAAACAAAAAAACACTAGCGTTCCATGTTTTATTTTCTATCTACTTGTTTTTCTTTGTGTGTGTATATTAATTTTCAGGGGAAGTTGCTAAAGAAAGGTTGATTTGTTGCTAAAATTTGCTAAATGATGTTGTGATGACGTTGCGTGATGACGTCATTACGTAATCACGATGCAAAATTGTCAAATCTCAGCAAAAACATATATATATTTTATATATGTTAATTTAGATTTGTTCGTAACAATATAAATGCATAATATAATATTAAAATATAAATGACTTTTTAAATCCATTGAATTATCAAAAACTTACACATTTTGAACGATTACAATTTAAGTGTTATACTTTAAAGCAGTTTATTAGTAGTTAGTTAGTATGCTGCACTCTAAGAAAAGTAAAAAATAATGCACAATCTACTGTGTTAATATGAAGGAATTTTCTGGATTGATTTTTCCACAGGTTTTTGTACCTGCATTTTAAATTACGCATTGTATTTTGTGTTTTCGGGTTACAACGGATAACGGATAATGTCCTGGAAAATTACTAGCACCTTTTCCATTTTTCTGCATATTTTTCTTACAGTGTACTATAAGAAACAGTGTAACTCATCAACAATCGCAGGTACAAGCTACTAACAAAGTGTCTCATAAATGAAAAATAACAGTATTCAATTATTATTATTATTACTATTAAACAATTGCAAATAGCAGCTATCTTAATTCCTGTAACGTGTGTACTGCTAGGCATCTCTGGTTTCCTCTTTTTGTGTAATTTAAATGGTAAATTGTGCCTTTTTATCGTTTGAGTCACTATTCAAAAGTTGCTAAAAGCTGCCAAATAAATTTTTAAAAATAGCTAAATTTGTTGCTAGGTGCTTTTGGAAGAAAAAGTTGCTAAGGTAGTCTGAAAAGTTGCTAAATTTAGCAACAAAATTGCTAAGTTGGCAACACTGGTCCTGTGTTTGGACTGTATGATGAGAAGAATGCTCGCCGTGGATGAACTCTCTCTCTCTCTCTCTCTCTCTCTCTCCAGCCCGCGCCCCTGAGGTTCTGCGCTGGCCGCTGGGAAACCCCGCGGAATGTAGAGGCGGAGCGCGCAGTGACAGAGAGCCGGGCGGGGGTGAGCGGGGGGAGGCGGAGTCACGGCACTTCTGCCAGGGCCGCCATTTTTGCACAGGGAAAAGAGACAGGATTGAAGGGATCCAGTTTCTAACTGTCGGCACAGATACGGACAAAATTATCGGGCTTTAACAGACTCTAACTGTACTTTTGGATTAGAGCACCACGAAGCGAAATACAGGTGCGAAATAGCGCGATTTGTAAAGCTTTGTTACACATCCGCGGTGGAGAGCGAAGTATTGTTTTGGTTGTGTGGTAACTGTTAGATCAGGCGGCGGGGTCTCACCCGAGTCCCCCGTGTCTCTATTCACAGTTATTACAGTGGACATCAACGGTAAGTACCTGCCGAAATCCTACAGCTATCTGCTTGTTTATTAGAGACGGTTGTTTGATGCCAGTGGCTAAGTGACTTGCTGAAGAGGGTCCCTTCCTCGTGTGGATGCTGAAATTGGCTTTAATGAGCTTGTATTAATAGTTTGTTAAAATTAGATGTAATTACAACGCCGCTGTGCATTTGTCAGCCCTCCTTTTGAGGTATAACGTTAAATCCCACCTGACTTGTTGTAAAGAGGGCAATCCGAGCAGTGTATGACTTAATTTAGCAGCTAAGGTGGCTAGCTAGCTCACACCCACCTTTAATGCCTCACAGAAGGAAAGATCTTAAATTGTATCGCTGTTTTATAGTGGTAGCAACCAGAAAAGCGGCACACAAGAGTAGCGGAAACTCGTTGTCGTTTCTCTTGCGTTGTTGTAAAGCTGCTAGCAACACCAGCAGTCACTGGTATTATGCTAGCAAGTTAGCCAGCCAAGAAAGAAACAGCTCAAAACTTCAATAATCTCTTTAGATGCTGGGATGTGCTGCAAAAAAACTGCTCGAGTGTTTCACGTTTGGTGAAGTCGTGGTCACGTCCCACGACATGTTGCTCCCGCCACTTATCTACAATCCTGACGGTGATATGCACACGTTTACAACTATATACACGTGTTTTTGTTGTGCATTTTAGAGAATGAGAGGTGTGAAATGTTTAAAATGGCACGTTGTGCTCTGACAGAGCCTGCAACAACAGGGCTTTTGTTTACACCTCTCAACTCCAGCTAACCATTCACTAGGTCCACTCTTACCCCATACCCAGCCCACAAACACACTTTTTAAGCCTATTGACTGGCACTGACTCATAGTAGTAAGGCCATCTAAAATAGGATATGTGATTTTAATCTATTGTTTTTGGACTTGCTCTAATCGCTGCAGAGAATAAGACTTAGTGCTGCTTAGCATAATAATGCATAGAGTTAGCAAAGAGGACAGAAAATGAGCGCTTATTTAGTGTCTGCCTGATGTGTTTTGTGTGGTTGTGTGCTGATGAGTGCTGCAGGCGTGGGGGAGGGGTTCGGGCTCGGTTCATGTAGTCAGATCTGCTTTAGCTTTTCCTCAAACTGGACCAGAACCGCGCTGCTTTACCATCGAACTGCGCAGTTATGCCATTTGTAGCCAATAAACCGTCACTCGACGCGTTTTTAGGTTTAGGACGATTAGGGTTTGATATTTATTGTTGGAAATTTGATTTATACCTCTATGTAAGGAAATTAAATGCTCCAGTGTATCATATCGATGCGCATTAGCATAACAAGCTAAGCATTTAGCTTCACCGACTAGCTGTTTGCGAGGATGTTGATTAATTAGTCGACCCGACGCGTTTGGTTTAGCAATGTAGACGTGCTAACAGATCATTTGGTTATTTAAACGCCAAACGAAGTCGTTAAAACGCACTTTCCCCCTCATATAATCGCGTAACGTTACATTGTGAGGCAAGTTGAGGTTAGCTAGTCGTCGTCAGTCAGAATCGCTAGCTACGCAGAAACGACGCAAACACTTCGTTCCAGCACAAAAACAGCGCATTTGACAAATAGATACTTAAGCATATGTGAAAAGGCGGGTTTCTTGTGATCTTGGCCGTTTTCTGTCAAATTTCAGCGAGTCTTCGAGCGCAGTATTTCCTCTCAGGTGCTTAGTGAAAATGGCGGATGAGTTGATGTTGTGGGAATGAAAGCCTCCACACCCCTAGATCAGCTCACACACACTGCAGCGCCAACACACTCACCCACAGGCAAGTGCACAACACACACCAGAAAAATACATTGCTGTGTTTCACCAAATATGATTATAGCTTGCGTTCACTGAACGCTTTAGCACATAAACTGAACCACATGAGTGTGCTAGATGTGCAGCCTTGTTGCTAAACCTAGATAAACCATCATAAATGTATGTACGACACTCAAATCTCAGCTCATTCATGAAGCAAAGTATAATAAACGACAAGTGATCTGTCGTTGTTGCCCTTACAGTGTTCAACAAAAGGGTTCCCCCTTCAAATGGTTGTTTTCATAGAGGATAAACAGATAATTGTTGTCTTTACTACAAGTTTAAGTGTGCTAAACATGAGACAGGTGTTGGCAAGATGTCACACTGGAATTAAGTAAAAGTATAAACATGCAGCCCTTTGTGGAAGGAACAATAAGGGATTTATTACTGGCACTTACTCATCTTTGTTTCATAGTAGCACAGACAAACTTCAATCTCGCTCAAACAACTAATCTTCTTCCTTCCTTGTTTCACAACACAATACATTCTAGGCCTGGGCGGTATGACGATATATGTACCGTTTCATCGATAGAGGTTTTTGCTATTCTACGATATGTAAATAGTGTTACACAATGTTATAGCAATAAATAAATAATCGTAAATAATTTAAAAAAACGGTTCTTCCGTTGACTCCTCAGAATGAGTTCTATTTCACAGCTTATTGTGCTTGAACGTTCAAATACACACAAAATGCTGTTAATATTTTTAAGACATTGCAATGTCTTTAATAAAAAAATATGAATATAATTAATACAGTGAAGACTGTTCAGTGTTTTTTCGTTCGATTTGATTTCTGCAGTATTTCTTACATGATACTGTTAAATAGACCTGCTGTACCTGAAAAACTTGAAGCAATAGGCTATTTGTTTCATTTATATCTTTCTTATATTGTATTTCTCCTATTGTTATTTGCACATTGTTTCTAATTTGTAATTAAGAATAACTAAAATTACAAAAATAGCTTCTTTGTGAAATAAAATTACTCATATTGTGAAATAAGAATTTCGTCATACCACCCAACTCTAGGAAATTCTTTTGTCACATAGTTTACCTTACTGGAGATTCTTGACTATGAAAGGAAAGGTTGTGCTGTACCAGAAACCTAGATGTGTGCATTGCCTCACCTAAAGTATTAACAGGAAATGAGATGTTTCTAGAGCTCACGTACAACCATCTGCATCTTAAAACTACTCAGCAATTACAGTTTTGGTTTAACGGCCACACCAAGGAGTACAACTTTATTTGAGGATGCTGTTGAGTTTACTGCAGTATTGAAAAGAGCGCAACCCACACAGCTGTCATATTTCTCTCATGATTACTGCTCCCTCCCTCTGGTCAGCGGGGAGTTTACAGGTCCAGAAGAATGTGGTTATTCATCAGAGCGGTTTGATGGGGTAAACATGGGCCCTAATGCGTAATGAATTAGACGATGATGCTGCAAAAAGGTCATCTTGATCTTGGATAGGAATGCGAGTGACTGCTTGTGCGTGAACTGATAGCTCTTCATCGGGGGCTTCAGTTATCCAGCGGGTCAAGCCATCACGCCGCACAAGAATGCTGATGTTTATGCGTTTTATCACACGTTTTATATGCATGTGTTGTTGTAGCTTTTGGAGGCAGGTAGAATAGCCCTCATCCTGCGTAACATACGTTAATGTTGTAAATGTGTTTTCATCAATAGAAATCACTTAATTGCTGCCTTTGTTAACCGCAGCGCTGTTCCTATAACTTTTGGCACTATGGTCATATTTGGAAAGGCTTTCCGTTATAAAAACTAAGGCATTGCTCCAACAGCTTTTTTAAAACGCCAATTTGTGTGTATTTCTTGTAGAATCCAGTGATATGTGCTAAATGATTTCCTTAGCCAAACTGTGAGACTGGCCTCTGTGGTGCAAACTTTGGCAGCCACGGGTGAGATGATGGTCTGAGACTCTTGCCAAACACATGCTTTGGACCCTTTTTCTTCAGGACAGCACCATGGTTGGGATTCAAGATGGCCATTAAGAATGGATTTGTCATCTATTGTATAAATGCTGATTTGCTCCACGAATACTATATTTTTGTCTGTGGCAACTTTTTTTGCATGGAAAAGCTCAAACCTATGCTTGAATGCAGATAACGAGAGGAGCAGACCGTGAGACTGGCCTCTGTGGTGCAAACTTTGGCAGCCACGGGTGAGATGATGGTCTGAGACTCTTGCCAAACACATGCTTTGGACCCTTTTTCTTCAGGACAGCACCATGGTTGGGATTCAAGATGGCCATTAAGAATGGATTTGTCATCTATTGTATAAATGCTGATTTGCTCCACGAATACTACATTTTTGTCTGTGGCAACTTTTTTTGCATGGAAAAGCTCAAACCTATGGTTGAATGCAGATAACGAGAGGAGCAGACCATGTACAGTGCAGGCTGTGGCTTTCTGACAGGCGTTTCCTGTAGGTGGAGGTCCAATCGTTGGCATGTAGTGGTGTGACATCACAGCGAGGCTGTGCAGCTGTGTAAAGAGGATGGAACATCAGCCTACGCACATCAACACACAGCTCACAACTCCGACAGCGACACCAGAGGGAAGTGATCCACGCGGAGAATGAAGCAGAAGCTTGCTTTGCTGCAAAAACCTGGCTTGTTTTTAAATGGTAAACGTAGTGCATTTCAACCACGCTGTGTCTCATTGGACGAAAACACGGCGGATGAACTTGAAGAGTTCCGAATGAACACTCGACGGTCTCATGTTTTGCATAACCTGTCTTTTTTTAAGGTCATTGCATCCTAGGGATGCATGGAAAGGTTAAGCTTGTATATGACAACTGATATAAGAAGTGAAGATTCTTATTGTACTAGGGCATAATAAAGTTATATATTCTATTATTTTGACTTTATTTCAGAACATATCTGCCTGAATGTTTGAAACATGCAATTCCGATCAGCATAAACAGCTCAGCAGCAGCTGCATTCACCATCCTGTCTGTCAGGTTGTCACGTCACACACGCATTCTAGCCTCACTGCACATGGGTGACTCAACGCTGTGTGTGTGTGTCTGTGTTGACAGAGGGATGGAGAAGTAAAGTGGACGAGATGGAGGTTATAAAGGGAGAGAGAGGCAGGTGGCTCAGAATCGCAGTCTCAGGTGACGCATCTATGCACACTGGGACACACACACATGCTAAAACCTGACAAAACACACTCCAGAG